GCCCAGAAGGCAGGAAGTATTGCTGGCTGGCTGGCTGGGCCAATTCCTACAACCACTCCGTGAGGTACTTGCTGTGCTAGGCACTGCCTTAATGATTTCTGTCTAGTGGCATTTCACCTTTACACAAGCCTCTGGTCCTTGCTCTACGTGGCAGCAGCTGAGGCACAGGAAAGTTAAATCGTCTCCCCAGTGTTGCCTCTGGGAGGATCAGAGCTAAGATCATGCCAGGCCACCCGGCTCCCGAGTTTGTGTGCTCAGCCACTGTGTGGTGCCCAGTATATGTGGGAGGCAGACAGAGGCTGGAGAAGTGAGGCCACTCAGGGCCCCCTCACAGCTGGTTTGCAGCAGAGCTGAGCTCCAGGCTCTGGCTCCCGGCTCCTGAGCCTGTGCTGCACACAACTGGTGCTGCCTGGGGGAGCTTGGCTCCCCCAAATGTGTCTTCCTGGCCTCAGAGCCCAAGTGAGGGATAGGAAGGCTCCTGAAAGTTCCCCTGAGGGGAGAAGTGCTTTGGGGGTGGTAGGGCCCCCTGGGTCCCTGGGCCTCTGCTTGCTGGCTGTGTAACTGAGCCTGTCAGCCTCTCTGTGTCTCAGCCTCCTCGTTCATAGGAGGATGTTCATCTTACCCTCTTCATAAGGTTGTCAGGAGGACCATGGGGTTACCTCAGGTCACGTGTCCAGTCACTGTATGTCAGGTAAAGTGTCCTTTTACTAATTTTAAAACGCTCACTATGTGTGTACAACCATGGATTAAAGAAACAGTGAAGCCCTGGCCAGGTGGCACCGTTGATTGGGCATTGTCCTGTACACTGAAAGTTGGCAGGTTCGATTCCCACTTAGGGCACACACTCAGGTTGTAGGTGTGACGCCTGGTTTAGGTGTGTAAGGGAGGCAGCCAATGATGTTTCTCTCTCTCCCTCCCTCCCACCATCTCTCCCTCTTTCTCTCCCTCCCTCTCCCTTTCTGTCTCTGGAAAAAAATAAAAATAAAAACATCTTGCCTGGCCGGTGTGGCTCAGTTGGTTGAGCATCATACTGTGCTGGTTTGATCCCCGTGAGGGGCGTGCAGGAGGCAGCCATTAAATGTAGTGCTCTCACATTGATGTTTCTCTCCCTCTCCGTTCCTCTCTCTCTAAAAAAAACAACAAACAAAAACATGGCTTGGTGAATTTCAGGCCAGAAAAAAACCAACCCATATATCTTGGGGTGTGGATTAAAGAAATAGAGTGCACCTGTGTGAGTGGAAGACCTTTGTGGGAGAGTCCCTCTCGAAAAGATCAACTCCCAAGGCGTGGCTTTCCTTCCCTTGGCTCCTGAGTTCTGTCTCTTGCTGTTCCTTATTCCTTGAGCGCGTGGGAGCGTGCCCTGCGCCATTCCCCGGGGCCTCCCCTAGGAAGCTGTAGCTCTCATCAGGGAGCAGTGGTGTGGTGCCAGGAGCCAGGTGGCTTCACCACAGCCTGGCTGTGTGACCTCCAAGGTGACTGTGCACCTCAGTTTCCACATCAGAAACATGCCCATTCCTCCACTGCTCTTAAGAGAGATGGAATGAGGTGGTTTCTGTGGCGCTGCTATAGTTCTCATGTCTCTTGGCGGGAAGGAGGCTGGTTCCCCTGGGAGCTTCCTTTTGAGGCGTGGAAGGCACGTCAGCTTCAACTCTGGGTGGGAGCTCCCCTCTGCCCCAGACACCATGTTGCAAACCCTTGAGGAATATCCTGGACCAAGGCCCTTGCTTTTTCTCTGAATTCTGAGTGCTGCAACCTTGCAACCTCAGTCCAGTTGGAACAGGATGGGGAGCTTGTCAGGCGGTGGGAGAGCCCCAGTTACCCCCATCCAACCTTCTGTATCCCTGAGGGTTCCTAGGATCCCTGGGGGGCTGGGCAGCTGAGTCAGGATGGATGGGCTAGGTCCAGGTCCCACCCAGTATAGTTAACATTTCTTGAGGTGAGCACGTTCTGTGTATGCGGTGCTTTGCACATGCAGCTCACCAGTACCTCAGTGTCCCCAGCCTACCGCAGGGGGAGGCGGACTGGGAGGGCGAGCTTGCCTGGTGGCAGTTACCGCTGAGCCCCGGCCTGTATGGCTCTGGGTCCCATCCTCCTGATCAGCAACCCTGCAGCCCCGAGAGGTAGCTCCAGAGGAGTCCCGTGGAGCTGCTTCCAGAGCTCCTGTGGTGTGGATGTGTGTTTATTTATTCAGGCTACTGTTTGTTTGTTTATTTGTTTGTTTTTAAACTAGGCAAGGGATTCTTTATTTTTAAAAATATACTTTATTGATTTTTTAAAAATATATTTTATTGATTTTTTTTTTACAGAGAGGAAGGGAGAGGGATAGAGAGTTTGAAACATTGATGAGAGAGAAACATTGATCAGCTGCCTCCTGCACACCTCCCACTGGGGGTGTGCCCGCAACCAAGGTACATGCCCTTGATGGGAATCGAACCTGGGACCCTTCGGTCCAAAGGCTGACGCTCTATCTACTGAGCCAAACCGGTTAGGGCTATTCAGGCTACTGTTGATGGACTGTCAGTGTTCTCCCTTATAAACAAAGACAAGAGTACGCCATGTATCTTAGTCTGCAACTTGCAGCTTTTCATGTGACAGTCTCTGTGTATGAGATATATACATTTTTTAAAAAATATATCAACATATCTCTTAGGAGATTGGTGATTTTTAAAAATCCATTGTTAATTTTCTAAGAAAACAGTTATGATCTGATAAAGTAAATTATTTTTCAAAATACAGAAATATTAATGTAGGCACAGGAATTTTATATTATAATTGGTTCCAAAGAGGGCACAGGGTAAAACAAGTTGAGAAATGCCTGCCTGAGGCATTGGGTCAGGAAACAAAGTTAGTACTGCTCTCTCTAATTGTGCATGGGCCTCAGTGTGCTCCATCAGGGTGTGCACGGGCCTCAGTGTGCTCCATCAGGGTGTGCACGGGCCTCAATGTGCTCCATCAGGGCATGCACGGGCCTCGGTGTGCTCCATAGGGGTGTGCACGGGCCTCGGTGTGCTCCATTGGGATGTGCACGGGCCTTGGTGTGCTCCATAGGGGTGTGCACTGGTCCTTGGGGTGCTCCCTCTGATTGTGCATTGGGCCTCAGTGTGCTCCATCAGGGTGTGCACGGGCCTCGGTGTGCTCCATGGGGTGTGCACAGGCCTCGGTGTGCTCCATAGGGGTGTGCACTGGTCCTTGGGGTGCTCCCTCTGATTGTGCATTGGGCCTCAGTGTACCCCCCATGTGTAATGCAGGAGGAAGGGTGAGCGCTCTCCCCAGAGGCAACCAGGGCCCTGTATCAAGACCATCCTTTTCAGAGGTGTTTGTGCTTATGAGGTGTGTGCATGAATTCCGTTTGTTTTGTTTAGAGCTCCACCAGCATGATACCGTGCTGTCTGCACCTCCCTGTTTTCACTTAAGGTCTCTTAAGTCATTCCACGTCCACAACTAGATCGGCCTCGGTCTCTCAGCTGCAGGGCGTTCCCGCTCCACCTGACAGAGCCCTGTGAGCTCAGTGCTGTTGCCAATATTCCTTATGACTTTCCTAACATTTCCTTCTCTCTGGTTTACTTTATTGTAAGAGTGTAGTATATAATACAGAGAGTGTACAGAATAGGTTTTAATTAACCATGTTGTCAGGAAAGCTTCCAGTCAACAATGGGCTCGTATTAGTATTAAATGTTGGGGGAGTTAATAGTTAATACGTGGCCGTCTCCGGGAGGCTCGGTTGGTTGGTGTGTCATCCCGGACGCTGAAGGTTTGCGGACACTGAAGGTTTGCAGTTCGCTTTGCAGATCAGTTCCCCTCAGGGCACATATCTAGGTTGCAGTTTGATCCCTGGTTAGGGCTCAGGCAACTGATGGATGTTTTTCTCTCTTTCTCTCTCCCCATCTCCTTTTCTCTCTCTCTAAAAATCAGTAAAAACATACTGTTGGGTGAGGATTAAAAAAAAGTAAGTAGAGGTTAGTCAAAGATCAGCTGCAGTGCTGTTTGGTGTGTGTGGAAATGGAGACTCCCAGGCGAGCAGCACAGCAGGGTGGCCCAGGCTTGGCCTTGCATGACCTTGGGCAGGGGCCTCAGGAGTGCAGAACTGGAACACACGCTGCCTGGTAGCGGGGGATGGAGGTAGGAGGGTGAGGGGGTGGGAGTGGGGAAGGCAATTCTCGGGCTTATTTACATCGCTGTGATTGTGGAGGTTGCCTGCTCCCTGAATTCTTGTATTCCGAGCAAATGTTTTGTTTTTCCAACTGTTCATGTGGCTGTTTTATAGACATAAGCAAAATCCATAGGGGTTTCAACAGGTACTGCCACTTCTGTGGGGAGGGTAAAAATGGGGGGTGTGGACACTTTCATTCAACCTCCTTTTTTTCTTTTTGGTCTCTGGTTACTTTTACTTACTTTTCCCTCCTTCCAGACAGAACAGTTTGCAGAGACCTGAAGCACACGCTCCCCCAGTGAATCCTAATCATGATCAACAGACTAGCTAATGGCTCTGAAGCCAGGCTCCCTCTTGCTGGGGCTGCTTCCTTCTCCTCCACGCCCCTGCCCCGGTGGGAACCTCTGTCCCTGACCAGTCCTGGCAAGCCCCCACCAAGGAGTTAGGTCGGTGGCTCTTGCCTTTTAAGATCTTTAGCTTCTCTGGCTAATGAATGCTTCCTTTTACTCTTGATTTTCTTTAACAAAACATTGGTCACTTGTACACTTGAGCTTGTCATTTGTGCCGGAGAAATTTAGCACTGTCTCTTCCTCATTCGAGGCTCAGGGGGCTGAGAAAAAAGGCAGCTGCCCCTCTTTGATCAATTAATTGCTGCCTGACTTCAGGTGGCCATTCCTGGGAATAGATGGTCTCTGTCCTTATTGCGTTCTTGCTCTCTCCCACCCAGAGGTCCTGTCAGCTCTCCCCAGCTCAGACACATTGTGCCAAAATGCCCGAAGGTGGTTGGAGAGGGTGGGACTCAGGCCTTCCTGCCCAGGACTCACTGCTCCCCTGACCTGTCCCCACACAGGGAAGAGTGGATGCGGGCCATCCAGATGGTCGCCAATAGCCTCAAGCAGCGGGGCCCAGGTGAGGACCCCATGGAATACAAGTGTGGCTCCCCTAGTGATTCTTCTGCGGCTGAAGAGATGGAAGTGGCCGTTAGCAAGGCACGGGCCAAGGTGGTAAGTGCTTGGGGGGCAGAGCTTCCAGTAAGTGAGCAGGCCTCCCCCACAGTGTTGGCCCTGTCACCATGCAGAGTGTGAGGGGCCCCGGCCCTGCCATGACTGCCCTGTAGCATGGGTGATCTCACGGTGTAGATGCCCCAGGGCTGCTCTGTGCCCACGTCCTTCTGAGAAGTCATTACAACTTGTCCACCCCTCGCCCTAGCCAGTTTAATTTAGTGGATAGAGCGTTGGCTCTTGGACTGAAAGGTCCTGGGCTCGATTCTGGTCAAGAGCACGTATCTTGGTTGCAGGCTCTATCCCTGGCCCTGGTTAAGGCTGTGTGGGAAGTAACCAGTTGATGTGTCTCTCTCACAGAGATGTTTCTCTCTTTGTCTCTCCCCCTCCCTTCCACTCTCTCTAAATATATATATATATATATATATATATATCTGTATCCTCAGATGAGGATTAACAAGAAAAGACCCACCCACCCACATCAGAACCCTCCCAGGGCCTCATGTCTGGGAGAGTTGAGTGCTGGGAGAGAGCCCTGGTCTGAAGGCCACTTCAGAACCAGCAGTTGCTGCCCAGAGCCTCCCTTCCTGCTCCTGCTGGAGCATTTTGGCAGCAGTGTCCTTTGATTTTCCTTTTCTTTTGTGAAAATTTTCTCCCACGGGCCGTGTGCCAAGTTGCACTGATGGGCCTGCTCTCTCCCCACCCCTGGCAGACCATGAATGACTTTGACTATCTCAAGCTCCTCGGCAAGGGCACCTTCGGCAAAGTCATCCTGGTGCGGGAGAAGGCCACCGGCCGCTACTACGCCATGAAGATCCTACGGAAGGAGGTGATCATCGCCAAGGTGGGTGCTCGCCAGGCTGCCCGTGGCTGGCCTGGGACACACACACACACACACACACACCACACACCCATACACACACCACACACACACACCACACACAGACACGCACACACATATACACACACATACACACACCCACACACCATACACACACACCCATACACGCACCACACACACAGACATACACACACCATACACACACCCATACACACACACCACACACACACACCACACAGACACACACACACATATACATACCACACAGACACACACACACATTGCACACACCACACATAGACACACACACATAGACACACACACCACATATACACACACATACACACACCCACACACCATACACACACACCCATACACGCACCACACACACAGACATACACACACCATACACACACCCATACACACACACAACACCCACACACCAAACACACACACACACACACATACACACACACACACACACAATCAAATATACACACCACACACACACACATATCACACGCACGCACCACACACACACACACACACACACACACCACACACACACACAACACTTACTTGTGCCTTCTGCTGCCAACGTCTCATTTCTCCGCCAACCTATTCCTCTGGGTTCGGGCCTGCAAATCTCCAGGCTGGCCTGCCTGCTGAGCCCCCACCCCACACTCTGGGCGCCTGGGAAGGGACGTGGAGAGTCTGGTCTCATCCAGCAGGCACTGTCAGGGCCTGAAAGGAGGTGTCCCTGTAGGCCGTGAGGGTGGGGGCTTGGCTCAGGGTGTCTCAGTAGGAGCCTGGGCCAGGAATGGAATTCTATTCCTTTTTTTTCCTTTAAATGGAAAATTCCTAACATACACAAAATTTTTAAAAGAAAAATAAATACAGGGACTCCCATGTAGCCTTCATTCAGCATCAACAATTATCAACATTTGGCCAATCTTGTTTTGTTAGCTCTGCCCTCCCCCTTCTTTCTCCCGGAGTATTTTAAGGCATGTTTTATACAGCGTAGAATTTACCCATACGCACTTAGAGATGTGTCTTCAACAGGTGAAGATGTGAAATACTGTAATTGTGGTACTGTGACCATGTTCACCAAGATGAACAAACCCAGTGTCATTGGTCCAAGGCAGGGTTTCTCAGCCTCAGACACTGGCTGACTCCTCTGCTCTGGGGCCCTGCTTTGTACTGTGGGCGTGGAGCAGTGACCTGTCTCCACCAGGAAAGCGGAGGCTCCCTTCCGCCCTTCCCCCTGGGTTGTAACAGTCAAAGATGCCTTCAGACATGGTTACCAATTACGCCCCGGGCGTAGACTTTCCCAGAGGTGGTTCAGGCCTGTGAGCAGCTCTTGGTGATGCGGAGCCTGTGTTCAGTCAGCGGGAGGGCTTGTCCCACCACAGCCGGGCCCACTCTGTTCTGGTGGGTCCGAGGAGGGGCCCAAGAGTCTGCTTTTCTCCAAGTTCCAAGGCAACGCTGACGCTGCCCCTGTGGGGACCACACAGAACCGTTACTCCACAGCCTGGAGTCCTAATTCTAGATCCAGTTTTTCTGGCAAGAACATTTATAGGTGGTGATTCCCACGGCCTGTGACATCACCTCAGGGGTCTCATAATGTCTGCTTGTTCCCTCTTAGGGAGGTTAGAATTGTTCTGTGGGCTCGGGAGGTGACAGCCTGATCCCTTCATTGTAAAGTCCCCACCACCCTCTCCCCTTGGGGTTTGGAGAGCAAACCACTGAATGTCCTTGCCTTGGTCCCTCGTTCCTTCGGGCTTGTGGATGGTAATGTGCCGCTCCTGCCCTTCTCGCTCTGCATAATGGCAAGGAATGGGGTTGTCGTTCACCCACCCCTTAGGCTGGGGGCATGCATGCTGTCGCCCACCAGCCCCTCACCTGGCCTCTGTCTGTCTGCAGGACGAAGTCGCCCACACAGTCACCGAGAGCCGGGTCCTCCAGAACACCAGGCACCCCTTCCTCACTGTGAGTGGGACTCCCTCAGGCCGTGCACGCGAGAGCCTCCAGGCCAGCCCCTTGGACAGACTCAGGGAACCGGCCCAGCTGGGGAGCTGCTGGGGAGCACAGCTTAGTGTCGGCAGGGTACTGGGCCAGGGGTTGCTGGGCTCCCCAGGTGGCCTGAACCAGAACCCCGAGGTGGCAGCTGCTTCCTAGACAATGGCGTGCAGACGCCAGGTGAAGTGACATTGCAGGGGCCCAGGAGAGCGTGGCTGCCGTCTCTATGAGTGTGAGGCCCTGAGCCCAGCTGGTCAAAGTGGGAACCTTATTTTTTGTTTTTATTTACAATGTAATACAGATGTATCATTGTGCTGCCTGTCAACTTGCGCTGAGCAGACGCCTCTTTGGGCTGCAGCTATTAGTTAAATGGACCAGGTTGAGGATGGCTTGTGGGTTGTTTCTGTACCTCGGTTGCTGTCTAGGTGTTCCGTTAAGCCACAATACTTGTTCACATAAGATCTTACGAGGTACTTCCAGGCAGAAGACAGAAAACAGTGGAGTTCAACCAGGGGTTCTGGGCCGCCCTCTTTAGAGCGCCTGAGAGCAGTGTGAGAACCACTCTGTTCGCAGAGGGTCAGCTCCAGCTC